TTTTTTTTTTACGTTAATGAGCATAGCAAATAAATTGGTATCCACGGTATCCACTCACATGTTTAACTTTTAGTCTGCTTGTTACGGTCAAAAAAAAAAAACAACCTTAATACAGTCACATTACTATATGCAATAACCTATATGAGACAGCCCATGATCACTAGATTTTGGCTTATTCCCTGACTCCGCTGTTTCCCTCTCCGAGGCTCGCTGAGAGAGGAGATACGGGAGAGCGGGGCTGCCTTCAGTGAAGGCGGTCCTCGAGTGGCGAAGAGCGAGACTCATGCTTCCAACGAGAGCATTCCGTCTCAGTGAACGAGCAGTCTCTGCGTGGGGGCTGCCCAGACAGGTGACGCACTCACAGGCAGAGTACATTAACTTCAAAATAGGGGTAAAAATCAAGTTTGCGCTCACAATTTTTTAATGTAGATAATTTTCATTACTAAAACATCTAATTGCCAAATTTCCAGTGTCCTACCTATAATTAATTTGGCTGGACAAGTAAAAAAACTTTAAAGTCATTTTTCTCAGTTTCACGTGAGTTAAGGTCTTTTGCCTTTGTAGGGCAGTATGGAGCAGCAGTACCAACCCTCTACATTGCGAGTAAATCACTCGCATATGCGACTAATCTTCACTCTGGCCAATTAAATGATGTCTAATATTAGCCACTGGCTAATAAATTCTCGGATTTTACTCGCCAGTGTGTGAGTTGGACGTTTGTTAAAATTTCCAAAGGGTGCCGCGACTAAAAAAATGTTGGGAAACACTGCCTTAGACGAGCCACACTTGCAGCACAACATTTGCAACAACGTTGCTAGAATTTGCTCTTTTAGGGCTTACCTGCTAGAAATAAGCTCTTTCAGAACCGCCGGATGGCAGCAGGGGAACAGGACCAGAACTGCTGCGACGCTGAGGCACGAAGAGAGTCGGTCAGCCGAGCAGGGAGGTCTCAGTATACCGTGAACGCTAGTGTAAAGGCGTACACCTTGCCGTCACTTTGTCTCACACACACGCAGAGAGAGAGAGAACGAGAGAGTCTACATGCAGAATAGACGCGCTACATGTAAACGATATTCTTTGTTGTATTTTCCTGTCAAAATAACGTCGTTCCTTTGGAATTCTTCAGCTTATAAGAACTGCCGGGTTCTCCGGTAGTGGGCGGAACTAATGCGCAAACGACAATCTCATTGGCTGACGGTCACCTATTATCATCCCTGTTTTGATTTCAGCAAATCAGTTCGATGAACGCACACAACCTGATTAAAATTCATGAATCCAGCAGCTCATTAATCCTTGCAGAACTGTGCATTTTATATTGTTCTTATTAGTAGAATTCTAGGTATTATTATCATCTTATCAGTATTATTGTTAGTTTTTCCACTTTTTTTTTACAGAAACACTGAATAACCAAAAAAGCAGCACCACCAGTCCTAAGTTCAAGCCAGATGCCCTGCCCATTCTGGCGGGCTTCGTCGCCATAGGCTCATGCAGCTCTGCTGCCGAGCCATTGGTTAGTTTTTAATACACTGCACGTAGTGTAGCATCCCATAGCATCTTAAGCAAGACACAGTACGAGTGTAGTATCGAAAGGGAACTAATTTTGCACAGGCTTCTGAACAGGGCTCTCAAGTCTCATGCATTAACATTTTGCATGTCAGTATCCAAACAATTGACTTTGTTAACCATTTGTTAACAATGTGAGCACTAAAAATCCATACAAAACAAAAGTAGTTTATCGGCTGCACTACTGCGCTTGCGTTTATGCTGTCATCGGACCAACAATCGACCACGTGTGTTACAACATCCACTATGTAATGTGGTGGTTCTCAAATTTTTTTTGGCCAATGCCCCCTACCATTATCCCGTTCCCTTACTAAAATGACAGTAAAGACATCAATAATGTTAATAAAAATAATATTTTAAATACTTTCAAAATTAACATTTCTATTTTCCATTTCATATTTATATTTCAATCTTTCTGTTAACAAATATCTAATAATAATAAGAAGAAGAAATGTTTCTTATATATAAAAGTTATTTTGCATTTTTGATCAAATAAAACTCTTATTGACATTCAAAACCATAAAAAAAAAAATAAAAAAAAAACGTGCTGACCTTTTCTTTCCCAAGTTCCAGCTCGTAAATCGTTGGTGCAAACGCCCCCCGAATACACCGCCCCTTTCGAAATACTGATTTCATAACCTTGAGAAATGCAATCATGCTACAAACTGCAGCATGGAACTGTAGCTTTATTTTAAAACCTTCAAATATGCTAATGCTAACAAATTAGCTTTTATAACTAAAACTATAACTGTAAATATAGACTTCACTTTATGTGTTTAAATAGTAAAGGCTTATGTTGAACTTTATTTTATATACAGGCACTGTATAAAGAAGTGCCTAAAATATTGAATTAAATGTGTTTCTGTTGTTACATGAAAAGAAGAAGAAAAATCTTATATGCAATAAATCCACCTCATTTATGGTAATGTATGCGAATATTGTGCAAGCGCCACTACGGGAAGCAGAAAGTGTCCGACCAACTCCTCTCGCCGATCGGTTAAATCAAGCCGCAGCCGAACATACATCGAGTTTTCTGAAATGGACGGGGCACAGCCATACCTTATTCAGCACCAATCACAGCCATTTCGTTCGACATTTATCTTGTGGATTACTATTGGATATGGTAACTGACAGGAAAACTCTAATGTTCTTCTTCTTCTTCTTTCCAGTTTAACGGCGGTTGGCATCCATCTTATTGGTGCATTACCGCCCCCTTCTGCTCCGGAGTGTCTTCTTCTTCTTCTT